CAAATATTTTCTCTATGTTTTGCCTCTGTTCATAGAATTACAAATGGTTCTTGAGTGAAATGAACAAAACACGGTGTAACTAGTCCAAGCTTATCCCTCGTTTATTAATATGGGTATTACCATTTAACGCAACGCAAGACTACTTAACTAGTTGAGGTCTGCCCCCATACGCGCGTTATTATCTGTCGATAATATAGGATGCGTTTTTGCGATATTTGTGTTAAGTACATTTTGTATGGGTTTTTAACCAAAATAGAAGTATGACGAATTTTCGCAATAACGCATGCGATATTATCGATCGATAATACCGTACCTATGGGCGGGACGCTTAGTGAAATCTTTTAGAAGTAAAGTCGGCAGGTGAACAAGCCAGACTTTGCAAGGAATATCTACAAACAATATCTGAGAACCAAGTCCAAAACCAATGCGAAAAACTAACTTTCTATGTTTGGATGGTGGTGTACACGAAGGATGTTTTCAAATATGTATTTATTTTTTATTCGTCTGTGTTACGCAGTAGTTAAATTCTTAAATCCGGCACGCAAAGACTTTATTATTTACGAGAGATGGGGGAGCAGAGGGGGAAACGAACATAGCTTTGATCTCCATCCACCTACCTACCATTTTCTTATTCGCTTCGCTTTAATTATTTCGCTCGTGAGCTCGGTCGTGGACTGAATTTTAAGAGGTTGTCACAAAATGAACTCTTAATTACGACCCCGCCGAGTTTTATTTGAAATAATTAATAAATTTTTCCTTTTGGCCGGAGGACTGTTATTGAGTTAAAACGATGTTTATTAATAACAGAGTATTAAGCAAAGTAATTCGTATTTCAGTGGTTTTTCTTGTTTTTTTAGCTTCTAGATTTCTTATTGTTGTCCTTAAATATTTACCAAGGAATGAAAATAGGTTGAATTTTTATTGCGAATACTCACGAAATACAATACATAACCAAATGTAATTTAAATATGATACAACCACGAATTCCGTGAAGATTCTCAGCGATAACAGCTAATTACAAAACAAAAAGATCTTCTTGTGATCGGTGATAAATCGAGGTATTTTTATAGAGTGTATCTTATAATTTAAAACAATTTAAAATATGTGAAAGTGTATTTCTTCGCGTCAAAATTTGATTGCCGATTAAGATATAATAAGAAGGTTTACCTACGTAATAAAATGAATGGAAAAATAAAAATTCACCAAAGTGCGTAGGTACTTTTTTCATTAAAAAAATATGTTCTTTCGTTGAACGGTTAAATTATGTTTAAAATGTTATTTAATTAATTGCTTTGGTGGATTTTAAACCATAATAATTCTAAGAACTAAGTTGATGTTCATAATTTTCCTATTTTTACTTTTTTGGAATAAAACCTATGCCAAGAATCGAGTAAGTACAAATAATTGTTGCTTAAGAAAAAAATTCAATCGACCACTGTTTTTTGGTAACGACGAGACACAGTCGCTGGCCTATAATGAACTACCATACATAACAATTACTTACTTTCAAACATTTATAATTTCCAACATAACATGAGCGAAGGACTCGATTATAAAAATGCCTTAACTTTACGACTTAATTAAATAAAAAATTATACCGCCTATTTAAGGATTTATTAGAAGAGGAGGTACCATGGAAAGTAAAAATAACTGGCTGCTATAATAATGCCGAGTGTTCGGTACCCACCCAGTCAAAAGTCCATTATTTTATTGAGGAAGTTGGCTCGGCATTCGTCGTTAAACCCAACGGCGATCACATTCAGACTATTACGATTTTATACTCCTATAAACGGGTACATGACTACCGTCTATTTTATAATTATAAAACAACACTCCGAATCCTGTTTCTCAGCAGAATGGGGACGATTTAATTTAGTTCTGAGTTTAAACGGCCAATATATTTTCGCAAGAGAAACCGAGTTGGATTTCAAGAGATATGAAAATAATGAATGACTCCAATGTTTCATTGCGTTTAACTTTTAAATTAAAAAGCGTCTGTTTTTAATTTTCACGCGGCAAAACGGTAATATTTTTTTATAAATTTCAGTTACTTTGTACCAATTCAAAGTAAATGAAACGATCCTTATCAATTAGGTAGGTACCTACTTCAGGTTCAAAATAATGTGTTCATTATAGTTTTTTAATTATCATTTATGATAAAATACATGATTGGTTACTCAATTTGGCCTGGATCATTTAATATTCTAAACTGATCACAGTACAATTAGGCTAAACAAAGCAATAGTCATTAAAAGTACTAGGAGCGTATTATCCCAGAGGAATAGCGAGTTGATTAGAAAGTTTGCGTGATAATTAGCAACGCGGGAGGGCACCGTAATCGCATTATACGAGTAGAGCAACTCGGATATTCGCAGCGGCCCTGGCTGAGCCACGCTACGCTGGGCGGACCAACTGCCAACTCAGACGGCCAAACTTATCCAAATCATTTCTAGCTTCCGACACTTCTGTAAGCCCAGTAAGTGAACTAACTGGCCAGATGAATTTATAAACTTCAGTAAATTGTCTTCTTCTTTAAAATTAAAACATTATAACTTGTAATAAATAATTTATGATGAAACTGCTAATAAAAACTTTATGATAATAAAACGAATTTTCAATTACAGTTTTGTAATTGCAGGTGTTACGTAAGCGCCGTTGTTTTCTTTGTCTAAATAGCGAAACAAAGAAAAGCTCGGAAAACCTTGTTAAGTTTTTTAAAGAATTCGTTTGCTGTTCATGTATTATTCAGCATTCTGTATAGACACGCGCTGCTGTTGCTGTACATGTGTTTAGCTGGCATGGGGCGGCCACACTACCCGTTTCAAAATTGACATTTTGCAAAGTGCCCAACCCTTTGTTGGTCGGATGAAATGTGAATTTCAATGAAAACGGGGTTAAAATTGCCGAAGCGCGACACAACCGTAAAAAAGAGATTTCATTTAAGTCGGGAGTGTCGTTGTCGTTATGATTTTCGCGAAGGTCCATTCCATTCCCTCTTGAAGAATTGTCGAGGCGACCCGGTCCTTTTTCATACTGTTTAATGTTCTCGGTGTAAAGCCCCATAATACTTTGTCAGAGCCGTGGGAGAGGTAATTAACTCTGAGGTTGTTATTGTGTTTCTCGCTTGCTTTTACTCAATTAAAAATAATTTAAAATAATAGGTACGGACACAAAGACAGCGGTGGGACGCGGCTGGAATAATTTGAAGCTCGGAGCAAACCTCTGGAGTTAGCATCTTGTTTCATTAGCGCGCGCCTGTCTCGACAATATTTATACGCCTCGCGGATCATGAATATTTACGCTGCGGTGGCGTGGCTTTAAACAGCAAATTTTGACAGAGCTATTTACTCTTTTGAAATATTAAATTATACAGTGGATTTGTAGCGTGACTGTAATTAATTTGGTAGTTTGTTTGTTGTATGAGAGAGATGTAGCTTTATAGAGGATCGTCTTTGAGCGCTAAACTCGTTTTATGTGTCCCAGCGGATGGTGGGATAAAAATCAAACGCCCATGTGCTCGTAAAATTTGTTGGAGAGAATAAATAACCGACCGACGGACGGGGTGTTGTGTTTTGTTCTGTTGTTCTGGTGTGGTCGGTCGGGATGGGAATCGCGTGGCATGCGTTGCCTAAATAACAAATGCGGATTAGTTTGGGGAAAGAATAATAAGCAATATTTTAACAACATTACGAGCTTGTGTCGGCATTCGTCGGCACGGATTTAGGGATTCAATAAATGTGAATGCTTTCCTTAGGCCCGCAACTGTTTGGTGGGCGCTCGCGATCCCTTTATCCTGTTGAAAATAAGCTTGTTTCATGTAAATAGAATATAGAATCTATATTCTCGGGATACCTACATCTATATTATAGATGTAGGTATCCCGATCGGTAGTTCAATCGTTACATATAAAGGTGTAGTTGCCTAACCGCGTTTAATTCTTTAACGATTGCCTTTCCATTAGTTTTATTATCTAATAAGACTGAATGGCTTTTTAATCATTAATTTTAAATCTCCAGCTTATATCTGTACAGCAGCAGCAACGATATTTAATACCCCAGGAGTGATTAATTGTTACCGTTGCTTGGCTGGTACATATTAAGGATTGGGTGATAAACGATATTTATTTATTGAATATCAAAACGAGATAAAAATTGAACATGACATGTGTATTGTGCGTATAAATCGAATTTTGTACCTATTAATAATTGCTCACTACACTCATTGTTATTGTCAGTAACCACTGAGATTTTTTTTATTTTATTCTCCTCATTCAATCCAGAAAAAAGTGATAAAAGGCTGATGATGTTGTTTTTTTAATATAGTATGTTACTTAATGTGCTTATAATAAAATAGTTTATACAAGTTTTAAATACCTACATCTATATATATATAAATGTTATGTAGGTTTGTGTACGCTTCAAAAACTCAAAAAGTTCTGCACCGATTGAGTTGAAATTTTAACATGATATAAAATCCGCATCAAGGATTGTTTTTATCTATTATTATTTTAACGATCAGATGTGTACCAGTGACCGCGCCATCTGCCAGAAGCGAGGAAAACACTCGCTGACAACCGCAATAGTAATGACGCAGTCACATGAAAAACAATTTCGTTCCCAATTACAATGTTTATTTACAAAAAAAAATGCATCTGATTCTGATACAATCTGAATTAAATATTCACTTAAATCAAGAATTTTTGGTGTGATAGTGTTGTGATCGAACTGCGCCTTTCACCAAATCGTAAGTAGAGGAGAGTAGAGGTTATATTTTATATTAAAGATGGACAGTAAAAATATTATTTTTTTGCAATTATTATATATTTAATATTAATTAATTAAATAAATAAGTAAAACATTAGTTTAATAATTAATCAATAACAAAACATATTTATTATTTAAGTGAATCTTTTCTATCGACGTATGAGAAAAATTTTATAGCAATGTTTGTTTCTATAATTCAATAGTGATGTAAAAGACTTTTCGTTTATAGGTATCAGTTAATGTATATAAATATAATTACATTAAAACTAGCAATTATTAATTAATACGAATGTCAATATAGTAAACATCAAATAATTTCAATAATAATATCAAATAAAATAACAATTAAATGAAAAACAGTTCACAGTTAGAAAATGAAAACATAAAGACGTGTATTTTTTTTAATTATTTATTTTTAATAATTTTCTTATAAACTCTGCAACGGCACGCGACTTGCAGTTAAGAAATTAATGAATAACGTAGTGGAAGCAACCATTTTAACGGGGCCTTTCATAGGTGAAGATGTCCTCATTCTTCGAATACCCATGATCCCGACCGATACACCATTTCAATTTAAAAGATTGCAATTCCCAATTCGATTGGCATTTGCAATCACAATCAATAAAGCTCAAGGTCAATCTTTAGAATTGTATGGTTTAGATTTAGATGCGGATTGCTTTTCACATGGACAACACTGTATGTTGCGTGTTCCCGAGTCGGCAAACCAGATCTTTATATAGATATAAAGATCGTAGATCTACGCAGACTGGAAAAACAAAAAATATTATATATCCACAAGTATTGCAAAGTTAAACTTTATGAAATGTATTCTTTGTTTTGTTCCTCATTTCTCAACCATTCAATCACAATGTACCACTGCGAAGCGTGGCAGGGTACAGCTAGTATATTATATGTAAACTGGCGGCCGCCCGCGATTTCGTCCGCGTTGACTTTGGTTTTTTAACAATCCCAAGGGAACCTAACATCTTCCCGGAATAATGGTATCATATGTCTCAATAAAGGTGTTAAAGTATATGCGTGCCAAATTTCATCCAAATCCGTTCAGTAGTTTTCGCGTGATTGAATCACAAACATACAAACTTTCACATTTATCTTCTTTTCTTTGTAAGTAACTCTTGTTTCTTTTCATTTGATTATCCATTCTAAAATAGGGATAAGTATTTTTCTAATCCGTCTTCATCCAACTACATTATCTGAATCTAGAATGAACCCCGGGTTTTGGTATGGACTAAAATAATCAATCAATTGAAACCGACTAACAAATGCGTAAAAAAAACTAGCAGCTTGCATATTCTATGTAAGTATGCTTTTCATTCTCTTCATTAGAATAAACACTTCGTACACGTTCGAAACTATATGTCTTATCAGAAAAAACTAACGACAAATTCAGCTACTCTCTGTGTTCAGCAAATAGTATCGAACCAATTGATTACTGACCCACTTGCCCGATATTTTGCTTAAAAATGTCAAAACTCCAAGTTTTCATCTTTAAAGAATGCCTAATGCACTTGGAACTTTGTAATAAAATGCATCTGTATTTATGTGGATCTAATATACCACATAAATTCCTTCTTGTTTAGCAATGGTTTTAAAAAATTAAGCTTATGGTGGGTAAGGAATCAAAGGACATGATAAAGTTTTGTATGAGCGACTGCACTGGCAATGTATAAATACTGTACTTAGTAATATTTAATGGCAAATGGCTGAATATTTATAATTTCTATGAATAAAGGCTCAGGAACTTTTGATAAAGTCACAATCTTGAAAATTACGAGATCTCCTACTATGTCATTGCCTTACACACAGTTGATAAAAGATGTTGCCAATTATTTACAGAGTCCTCAATTTCGCATTTTCTTAGAATCTTTCTTCCCATTTCTCTGATTAACTCTTCACAAAAAGTTATTTTAAAGCAAAAATGCAAATAATTTGTTATCGTAGGCCTGATAGGAAATCTGTGAAATTTTATTTTGTCCATTTGCAAAAATTAGGATTAATTATTATACAGCCTTGTCTCAAGTCTGATCAGAATAATAAATTCTATTATTTTAGGCCTTCATTGATTTGTTTTAATAAAAGTTAGGGCCAAATATGGCATAGTTTGAAGGAGTTTAGAAATAATATTGTTTCTTTCGATATACTTAGACGAATATTTTTTGTTTACATTTATTGTTCATTTATTTTGTAAAACGCTTTTTATATTAAATTATTTTGCTATTAAATTTTGCTTTTGAAACAGACATGAAGTCAATTTTTATACTTTTAAATATTTGATTATTTCACGAAAGTTGTATGAGAATAATAAACACGCAATAATTAATAAAAAAATATTGTAAAGTTACTGGCTAGTGCAAAATATTTATACACGTTATGGGCAGTTTCTTAGCCATATCCTTTGCTGATAGTACATATACAGCAAACCGTGTTCTATGCAAATAGAAACAAAGCATAACTAAACTGTTAGTACAAGACTCTCACCCCCATATTAATAAACGAGGAATAAGCTTAGACTAGTTACACCGTCTTTTGTTCATATCCCACCAATGCCATTTGTCATTCGATTAACAGAGACAAAACATGGAGTTATCCAAACTTTTTCTTCATTTATTAATAAGGGGGCTAACGTTTATGGCTTACGAAAGCTATTGCGGTAAGCTTTCAGATATAATCGCAGAGTATGTAAGTACGAGCGACATCAAAATGCCGTTATTGATATTTTATTCATATTTTTTGTACAAAGATGATTTGCCTCGCCAGCTCGAGGAACAGCCACTTTAAAAACTAGAGGTGCCCTTCTTTTTCCCCGGATTAATTTGAATAAAAGGGTTATAGTGGGTTTCCCTTAAAAGATAGACATTATGCTGTCCCGGACTTTTTTTTATAGAACTTTTGAAGGAGCAACAATTCCGTCATACATGATTTTTGTGTAACTTTCTGCAACATTTTTCATTGGTGTTCTTCTTTTTACTCGTTGCGTTAAGCCTATGGCCTTCTTCGAAATATACAATATCCAACACTAAAATATTTTTTCAAATCGGACCAGTAGTTCCTGAGATAAGCGCGTACAACCAAACTAACAAACAATATGTATAGTCGAGATAACAGTATCGCCACATGTGGTATCGGTATGAAGTTTATGCCTTGGTACCATTGACGTATATCAATATTAGGTAACGTAAAATATTTATGTTCGTTCCCAAAAAAATTGGGAGGTTAATCAATTAGGAGATTAAAAATACTTTTAATTTTGGCTGTGCGAAAGAGATTTCCCAAGATTTTCCCAAGTGTCAACGATGCTTTAATTACCAGGGCAGATACCTAACCTCTATCTAAACCAGCTTCTGAAAGACGGCACCATGAAATTGGTTTTAAATGAGTACCTTTTAGTTTTCGTGAGTGCTTTCAAAACTTCAGTCGTACTAATGTACTTTTTATTTAGAACATTTCAGAATTCAGATGCTGATTTGCCACTCTTCAAAGCGTTTTTTTTTCAATTAGACTAACATATCCTTCTGTTAACAAAAGAGGCGATGTTAGTCACAGAGGTTCCACCAGATAGAAATAGAAAAAGCACTTAAGTAAATGTTTTCAACAAATTACGGCGAGGGAGGAGGCGGGAACACACAGCCTACAGATATAAATCTGATTATCCTCTCAAGCACTGCGCTTAAATTAAATGGCTCCGAACGTAAATTACGATGTTTTTCAAACGGTTTTATGCCCTTGTTTATTTGGACATTTTGGACTCTCCTCGGATAATATAGAATGAAGCCTTTTGAAATTTCTTTGCGATTCCTCTTTGCTGTCATTAGGTGCTTAAGGAGCGGAAAAATGTCGCAAACAAACAATAAAAAAGTTTCCTTAGCTCTCACTCGGTTATATCGTTTCCCAAACTCGCATTTGTCGCCGTCATTTTGCTCTGTATACATACATTTTTCTTACGTCTTACGTTAACGAAACAACCTTATTTCTGTTCAAACATCAACATTTGGATGTTAAAAAATAATACCTTAACATCAATTACAAATTTCTGTCCTCTGTCGATTTCGATGTCCATAATCATAATTATAAATTTAGTAGTCCATAACCATAATTATACTTTTCTATTACATTTGAAATACAAGGCTGAAGCTGAAAAATAGTTTCAACCACAAGTTTAAACTCTTTATGAGCTTAGGGTCGTTGCTTGCGGCTTACGAAATTTTGAACCGTTTATAACTTATATTTTTATTTTTTAAGCATTTAACGGCTAGATGTTTCAATCTTTAAGAAAATGTAAATTTTTTTATAACTTTAAAAATCGTATATAACTAAAAAAATATACAATGAATAGTATTTAATCATCATCACATAAAACTGTGTTGTAACAAATCGGTTTTGCAATTATTGTAATTGTAAAGCCTGAAACTTCGTTTATTAAGTTTAAAATATTAAAACAGAAAATTTTAAATGAAAGAAACGCGACAAATAAACATCACACAGTAGGTACTATCAATCATGGATTATTAACTTTAAATAATCAAAGCTATCAATCTAAATAAAATGTCCCTACAGCGTTTAATAACATCCAATATTCGAATTCATTTAGCACAAATTGGCGTCCGATGAAAAAGAATTCTTCAAATGTCAAAGTTTGTTGCCTTCTTCGAAACAACTCCCTTTTTTTTTGGCAGAGAACGCAATTTGCATATTTGCCGAGTTTTATTAATATTATTGCCTGCAGTGTGTCAGCCTGTTAACAGAAACCAATTTAATTTGTTTCTTAGAAATGTGTGCAAAAATTTAATCGTGAATTGTTCGAGTGACATTTAATTAAACAGTTTTAAATATGTATCTCCACAAACATAACTATTAGAAATTTTGAATCTTATAACACTTAATTGTTTGGTGAATAGAATTTTGAAATTCGTTTTTGTATTTATACCAGAGTACGTCGAACTATAATATTCTTGTTGTCGCTTTCAAAGAACCTTTTGCGCCTTAATTCTAATTATGTCAAACTCATTAGCAGAGTTAGCAAAAATTTAATCGAATATTTGAGTTGTCTAACCTTTTACTTTAATTTCTATTTAAAATATTCCGTTTGGTCGTTACAACCGTATAAATTAACGTCTGTTACTGTATGTTAATTACAAGTATTATGTGAGAAAGTCTGGTTTTAACGTGGCTGTTTCACGGTATCATTCATATTCTCTGTCTGACCGCTTATTACAACATTAACTAACCCAGTGTCCTTAGTTTATTATTATTACAAATCGTTTAAATCAAAAAGATGGATTCTTGCAATAGTAGTGTCTGTATCAGATTTGAATTTCGCCGAATATGAATGCATGGAGCATTGTTCGAAGTAAAGTACTCTAGAGATGCATGTAGTTGGGATGAGTTAAATATTTATGTGTGGTTTTACTGTTGCCGCTACTCCAACATGAACAAGGAAATCCATTTCTTTGTTGCACTATGCGGAAATGGAATTGATTTATCCCGCACGTGTTTGCTGCTTCCTACAGTTCTTGATTTTTGAAAAAGTAATGAAGCAATATGTAGGTCGACAGTCTTGCAACTTGCAGCACGCTGGACTCTAAACATTTCCAACATCACGTTAGTTGGACTAAAGTAATTTTATCATCATCATCAACCCATGTTCGTCCACTGCTGGACATAGGTCTCCCCTAATGCACGCCACTGCTCCCAATTTTGTAATCCCTACTCTCATCCAGCCCACTCCAGCCAGCTTACGAATATCATCATCCCATCTTGTCTCAGGGCATCCTTCACTACGTTTACCGAGTCGTGGTTTCCACTCAAGAACTTTCCGGCTCCAACGGCCATCAGTTCTGCGGTCAAAGTTCAAAACTAATCGAGAACCGGTGAAATAAAAACTTTGCTATTACATCATC